TCAAAAGAGGGAGAGTTCGTTGTTTATAAATTTTACAGTGAAGTTGAGAAAATTGCAGCCCCAGAAACAAATTCAGTAGTTCATTTTTTCATAAATGTTGCATTTATATTTATTGATATCTACCTTGTAATCGAAGAGGTGATATATTTTTTGTGAGATGCTGAAAATACAAATTCTTATTCTCGTTTTAAACGATATCGGTCGACTTATTTGGAGATAGATGAATTGAATCTTGCATCCTACTGAATTAATTAAACCTGTTTGGGTTCATTATGCATTCGGCCATTAAATGCAAATCCTTGAACTTGAAATAAACATGTTCCATTCAGAAGCCTTATTCTGCAAAATATCAGGCGCCGACAATAAATGCAGAATTAACATATAATTGAAATACGAAGTAAACAGAGGGTGTAACAACTGAATTAGCAATATTCAATGAATCAATAGTATATCAGAGAGTACATGTTTCGAGAATATGCAAAATGTTTCTTGAGTAATATCCAAAATGTTACTGAACAAGAAGGTTTTGTCAAAAAATAATATAAAATGATTATTGGGTTTTTCCTTCTAATAATTTTCTATTGAATCTTTTTGGTATGAGTACTTGCATTGTGATAGATACTTCATCCGAGCCGATATATACTTTTACCAGCTAGGTGAATTTATATAAGTAGTTTCTTATATTTTGTGCTCGATGTTTTGACAGAACCTACCGTACCAACTATTACTGCTTTGCTCACGAGGGCTGCTAGACGATTTTTGTCAAAAAATGAACGAAGCTATCAAGCAATCCTCCTATTTCAGAGTTGGTTCTTGTGTCGTTACTGTATTTCTTGTTTTCTGATGCTCATGAAAACTCCAATTTTCCATATGGTGTTTAAGAAGATAAAGATTGAAGGAAATCTCTCAGATGAAATATTCCAGAACTTTAAAGAGTTCAAAAGCTTCAAAACGTACAGAAAAGACTCTCGAATCTTGCGATTGTCAATTGTTTTAGCACATTCCCTCCACAATCTCTTGGAGGCCTATGTGCGTTAGCTCATGTGCCAATAGATGTGATATTTATATTTCGAGTCCTATATTTTTTGTTATTCAATTTCTGTCTTGTGGTTATATTAATTTTTATTGTTCTAACAATAAAATATAATTCGTGCAGAAATCAAAAAAAAAGTATGTACTTAATTGAAACTTGAAGTATAAAATCTTATACACTCAGAAAGACTACTAACAAATTATTGTCCTCCTTTTGATTAAACATTATTGAAATCCTCCAGAAATCATTCGAGACTACAAATTTCAAATTAATGACATTATTAATATCCAAAAATATATTCATTAACTACTGTGAATGGATGTGTCCGTCATCTGATGAAAATCCATTGCGTAACAAATAATCAGACATTTCATGTATTCATTTATAAGGATTATTCCTGCTCCATGCAAAGGGTATAAATAAATTTCACAAACAAATGCACAACTTCTCATCTGCCACATTCGATATGAACACTTCACACAAACTTACAATGCACTGACAAATTTTCCAATACTGAAGTGTTGATTTCATACATATTTTCTTATGAAACTAGTTACTCATATTGCATCATATAAGTGAAATACCCTGGAGAGTTTAGGTGTTTCTCAATGAATTCCTGATATCAAATTAATGTTACAAAAAATGTCACTTTAATTAATCATATTTGTCAGTAATTTGCAGATCAGATCAAAATTTATTCCAAACCACGGAAAGTAGGTAAGATAGTTTCAAGCCTTTTCAGATCCAGGATCTTTCCGGGGTGAAGCAAGAGGACAAAGAAAATGTTTATTACAATCATCATTACGTAAATTCGCCATTATTGAATCTCTTCATTCCAAGGTAAAAACAGTTAGGTATATTTAATGTACTTTCAAAAAAAAATTATTATTATAGTTCATGAATTATTCATACCTGACCTTTTCAGATAGATTCATTCACTAGAAATTAGGCATACAAGTAGGTAACCTAACCTAACCTAACCTAACCCAACCTAACCTAACCTAACCTAACCTAACCTAACCTAACCTAACCTAACCTAAACTAACCTAACCTAACCTTTTTGCACCTTCGTACCACTTGACTTTTTGAGAAATATTGGCGTACCACCAGACCTAAATATTTTAATAAACATATAATATTTACTCTTCTAAAAGACATTTTTTATAATTAAATTCCTGAGAAAACTTCAAATTTAATGGTTAGATATTTGTTTATTTATAATATGCTTATAATAAAGGAGGAATAAAAAGATTGAAATGGTATTAATTTACAGTTTCATTTATTACCCATAGGTCTAAAAACATACAAATAAAAAATTATTAAAAAGTCAGCAAAAAATGAATTGTCATACAAAATATACTTTTATAGTCTTTAGTGTGAAACTTGTTGTTTGTCTGTGATTAAAATATCAACATTAGGATTAATGGAACTTATCTTCACTCTTAAGTTCTCTTCAACACTTATTCTGCATCTATATTTATTTTTTATGTAAGAGTTCAGAAAATCCACCCTCACACAAGTAACTCGTAACAAATGGCATCAAAAATAGCAGAGCTTGCCGAAAGAGCAAAGGGTACTCAGTTTTACATCCGATCCAGAAATTAGTTAAAGATTTCTCTTTAAAATAATATTCCATGAAACTATCTTCTGTAAGGCCGATAAAACTTTCTTTTACCTGAAAAAGAATTTCTGATTCAGTCTACTTTTGAATAATCTTCAGAGAAATACTTCTTAAAGCTTTTTTGAAGGCCTTCCAGGTGAACAATGATATCTGCAACCACATCTGGCATTGGAGATATTTCATTTTCTTCAAAAAATGATGATAGGGTGGGGAATGCAGATAAATTCTTCTCCTGTATTTGTAAACAAAACAGGACCAACTTTCTCTTGAAGGAGTTTATTTATTTTGTCGCTGGCTGTGAAGGCAAGTTGTGTTTGGTCCCTGAAGTTCCAAGTTCAGTGTGTTGAGTTTGTCAAAAATGTCGGCTAGGTAACCCAATCTAGACAACCATTCTTCATCAGCAAACATTTTTTTTATGTCCTGATTTTTTTCATGTCCTGATTTTTTTCACTTAAAAACATGAAAATCTGATCTCAGTTTAAAGAGACGTTTCAAAATTTTCCCGCGAGATAACCACCTCACTTCTGTATGCAGGAGTAAAGTTTTGAACTTGCCACCCATTTCTTCATACATCAAGGAGAATAATCTTATGTTTAGACCCCTCGCCTTTATGAAGTTAATAACTTTCACAGCATCTGATAGAACAGAGTTAAGATTTTCCGGCATACCTTTAGCAGTTAATGCTTCTCAATGGATGACATAATGCGTACTTTTGCATTCGTGAGCAACTTCCTTAATTTTTGCTGCTAGTCCTGTCATTTTTCCTGATATAGCTTTTGCCCCATCTCTACGCAAGCCAATACACTTGGACCAGGGAATGCACATATTCATCAATTACTTTAAAGTGAGTTCCGGTGTTGTATTTGATTCAAGTGGTTTGCAGAAAAAAACTCTTCTATTACCTCTTCATTATAATCAAATTGCACGAAAACAAGTAGCTCTGCCATGTTTGTAACATAAGTGCTTTCATCTTAAAGTGCAAAATTAGTCCATTCTTGAGTTCAATATTATTAGACATATCGTCAATTCGTCTTTTTACTGTGTTATTTGACAGTGGTATTTTTTTAATTTCTTTGACTGCCTTTTCTCCTAACACGGCTTGAACCATATCCACAGCGGCTGGCAGTAAAAGCATCTCACCTATTGTGTGAGGTTTTCCATCTTTTGCAATTCTGAAACTAGCAAGGTATGACGTCTTCATCAAGTTAGTATTAGTATTGACAAACTTCGTCAAACATTGGGTTTCTTTCTTTAAAAAACTAGATTTTGTTTTAAAATATTCAATGGGCTTCCCAATCAAATCAGGGTGTTTGATATTTTGGTGTCGCATCAGTAAAGAAGGCTTCATGGATTGGTTCGAAAGTGTTTCAAGACATACAACACATTGAGGAATAGCAATGTCACTGGTTTCACTCCCTGGCTTCACTATAAAACCGTACTGTAAGTAGAAGAGGACATGAGAAATCGTTTCATCATTCAGTTTTCTTATATGATAATCAGAATTAATAATTACAACACCCACTACGAACCTGTAATGCCAAGTGAAAGTAAAAGACAATCCTTTTAAAGACCCACAGGTAAAAAATGAAACACCCTTTGTTTACCAATTGTACTATCTGGGGATTCATAGGTAAAATTCCTAAAGTGTTTTATTGTTTTATTACCTAGGAATTAGAAATTCCAATGTAATAGAAAAACAAAGATGTCAGGTCGTTCACTGGGTCATGGGTATTTGGTTTTTCTGGCGACCCATGAGCTGTGTCATGTTTGCTATTAACAGCATGTTTCTCATATCACTCACGTGTACCACCTGAAGCTTTCCCGCATACCACCAGTTGGGAACCCCTGGGTTAGAATATAAAATGGTTGTAATTTAGAAGTAACTTTTAGTTTATGCTTCAGAAAACTATTGTATAGCGATACACTTGTAGCGGTTTTTGTAAAACCCTTTATGATAAAAATCATACAATAAACTGTATTAATTAGTTTTAATATCAGTATCAGCCAGTTCTATTCAATGACAAATGTTGAGATATCACGAATATATAAATGTTGATATATTAATATAAAGAAATTGTAAAGAAGACAATTCAATATTTGACTAAATAAATCTGAAAATATATTCACCATATACGAAAAAAAAAGCACCAAATATGGCACCCTGGACCAAAAAAACATTACCAAATGATTCATTTTCCCGAAAGAAACTGGATATCTTCTCCGAGGTTCATCCTCAACTTTTTCTTGCACATCAAGGCTAAATTACTATTTTACACTACTGTTTCTATTATTACAATGGTTCATGAAAATAAATTATCGAAAATGAAATGAAAGTAACAAACTCACCTTCGAGGTGACCCTCCACCTAGCCTGCTGAGGAAAATCATTGATTTCCAATTCTTCCTCGTACTTTCTGAAGGTTTGCTCGGAATCTTCGTCCATTCGATCATCATCATCCTTTGGTTGATAATTGAGCTTCGTATTAAGTTTCGCGGCCAGTTGCTCAGCAACAGTCTTTGCTGTGATTGGAGGCTGAGATCCGCTACCCTTTAGGATGGATTCTGCAGCCTGTTGTGTGGCAAACTTGGTATCCATAATTGTATTTTTTGTAAGGTTGATCTTGGATGCGAGACGTTTGGCCAATTCCAGCTTGTCAACTGCAGTATTAGAATTACCCATAGATGATGAGTTGATGAGTCCTAAAATTCAAATTTTGTTATAAAGTTACTATTCTTTACATAAATAAATGTATAAAATCTTAATTTCAAAATATATACTTGAAATAAATTCAAAATTGAACATTATAAAAGTTTAGAAAACAAAAAATTATTCATAGAACATATTATTACAATAGTAATAAAACATTAATTCTTTCAAAACAACATAGTTTGACTTTTGTTCACGGAGTACACAAGCTGTTCTTCGACTTAACCCGTTAATGAACAATTGAAAATACAAGCGAGACTTATATTTTCAAAAAAGTGGTTTTTAAAATAATATATTACCTAGAGGAGCCTTAATTTCTTTCACGGTTCTCTTGGTAGCAAACATGCTTTCAATTTGTTGGTCAATGTCATGTTCTAAGTCTTCATCATCGCTATCAGCCAATCCTAAAGCTGCTTTCTGGAATTTCTTCTTTTCGTTAATAGCAGCTGCTTCTGATTCATCGAATTTGAAGCCTTTACCACTGAAACCGCCTCCACTGTGAACTTTTTTACCTGGAACAGGTCAAGTCAAGAACCGGTTAAACAAGCTAGATACATGATTGAAATGGGGTTGAAAATCCAAATCATTTCTAGAAAAATATTAAGTTACAGTATATAATATTAAAATGTTTCCTTAAATGATCATTCGTATAGTTAATTGATTTTTTTAAATAGGGAAAAAACTCATTCACAATAAATCTCTCACAATGAAAAAACTCTACTAGTTTCTGAAATTGGATGTGGTGGACAATTTTCACTGCCGAAAGCTCACTCTAAATGTTCTACCTTCATTTAGAAATATTCAGTCTTTTTTACTGTTGATAATTCCGAAATTCTGATTCCAGTGAGAGAAACTCCACATTACAATTATGTATCTCACAAACATTGAGGTTTGAGAATTGCATTATCACCGTTTGAATCATTTTCACTACAAATGAATTATTATCATTTTCATTAACCTGATATCATTATAGTATTTTTTCCTCCTATAAATCACTTTTCATGGATTCAGAAAAAAATTTTCTATTGATTTTAACATCTGTCAGTATTTTCAAGAACAAAAATAGTACCTTAGACTGCCACTCTTGACTCATTTCAACTACTTAGTGTATGTGATTCTTAGAGAAATCAACTCTGATTCTGCAGGAGAGAAACGTGAACTTAGAGATAACTAACACATGGATCAATAAGTCCCGAGACTAACAATGAAAACAACATTTTTTTTACAAAATTTTTTTTTATTCATCAACATAATCTCCTTTCAGGGTGATACAATGGTTCCAACGCTTTTCCAATTTTTCAATACCATGTTTATAAAAAAATGTATCTTTCGCTTCAAAATAAGTTTCAGTTTCAGCGATGACCTCCTCATTTGAGCCAAATCTTTTTCCCTGGAGCATTTTTTTAAGATCAGCAAAGAGCCAGTAGTCACTGGGGGCTAAATCTGGTGAGTATGGGGGGTGGGGAAGCAGATCAAAGCCCAATTCGTTTAATTTTGCCATTGTTTTCATCGACCTGTGGCAAGGTGCATTGTCTTGGTGAAAAAGGATTTTTTTTCTCTGCATGTGCGGTCGTTTTTTTGCGATTTCCTCCTTCAAACGTACCAGTAAGTCAATATAATAATCACTGTTGATCGATTTACCTTTTTCGAGGTAGTCAATGAAAATCACGCCATGCGCATCCCAAAAAACTGACGCCATCACTTTGCCAGCTGACTGCTGCGTTTTCGGACGTTTCGGACGGCTTTCGCCAGCTGTGCGCCACTCAGATGACTGCCGCTTTGACTCTGGAGTGTAGTGATGTATCCATGTTTCGTCCATGGTCACGTAACGACGCAAGAAATCTTTTTTGTTGCGAGTAAATAGCGATAAACAGCTTTCTGAATCATCGACTCGTTGCTGTTTTTGTTCCATCGAAAGCAATCGCGGCACCCACTTAGAAAAAACCTTTTTCATGCTCAATTTTTCATGAAGGATAGTAAATACACTTCCATATGATATCTGTGTCATCTCAGCAATCTCACGGAGCTTCACTTTACGATCTTTCATTACAATTTTTGTCACTTCACTCACATTTTCCGGTGTAACAGCTTCCACAGGTCTACCCGAGCGTTCTGCGTCATTTGTGTCGGTACGACCACGTTTAAACTCGGCAAACCACCGACAAATCGTTGCTTTTGATGGACAAGAGTCCGGGTAACATTTTTCAATCCATTCTTTCGCTTGCACGGTGTTTTTACCCATTAAAAAACAATGTTTTATCAGAACACGAAACTCGGTTTTTTCCATTTTTTAAACAAACTACAAAACGACTTTACTCTAACCTCGATAACTCAGCTGTTTCTGGTCCGATCGACTTAAAATTTCGACACGTTTCAAGCAAAGGTTAGTACTCTAGAAAGACGTGGTTACTGGTTTACTAAGGGCGCCATCTCTGGATTAGTCTCGGGACTTATTGATCCATGTAGTATTGAGTTGTTTCAAAAGTTTCAACCGTTTTAAAGTCCTGTGTTTTTGTATCTCAATAGAAATTTATTATACTGTGTCGTGGTGTATACTGATCGATAGGGAATTTTGTACTCTATACATTGATGAGGTCCATATTTTCCAAATTCAAATTTTTTTCCTATTTTGAGCTTATTACTATATGGTGTCAAGCGATTTTCGGCAAATTCTTTTCTACAAATTCAAATTGAACTAAAGCACTGCCGAAACAGCCCGAAATATTAACAGGGCATTTGGCAATGATAGTGTTAGTGAACGTACTGTTCAACGTTGGTTTGCGAAATTTCGTTCCGAAGATTTTACCTTGAAAATGAGTCCCGAAGTGGTCACCTACAGTAATCCAGGTCGAGGATTTTAGGACCCTGGTGAAGACTGACCCATCACAAACGGTGTGTGGCAATGGTCAGCAACAGACGGACCGCGATCCATTTGCGGATCGCCAAAGGTCGAACCTCGGACCGCCAAATATTGTAATGTGTTGTATACCAAGTATTTATACTTGGTATACAACACGTAGATAAGGTACCCTATACCTTTATTAGTTGAAATAATATTCTTAAGCTGAAGATATTTTGAAATATTTAAATGCGCTCAACACAGAGTTACAAAAAACATTGTAGTATTTGTTATATTTCTGGCCGATCTCATGAACGAATTTGCTACAAGATTCCGAAACTTTGCAGAGATGGGCAAGATATCTCCGTTTCTTAAATAGCCATTTGAAGTTGATGTAGCGGCAGAATGGTCAGATGTGGCTGCCAAGTTGTTTGATCTGTCAATGATCTGTAAAAAACGGTATCCACTGAAACAAACATGTCCCATAAAAATATGAAAATTGCAAGAAACACTGTTTGGCTCGACATACATATGTGAAACATCTCAAAGATGAATTTTTTGAAAACAAATATTATTTGAGATTAGAAGACACACTTCGAATTTGCAGTTCTTCACGAGAACCAAACTATAAAAAACTGAATATCACTGGAGTTTTTCCCCAACACCAGTCCCTAATTTTACCACCTCGACACGTGTTTTGATCACCAAGTGATCATCTTCAAGAAGAAGATCAAACTGGCTCAAGACCGTCGGTGTAGTTTCTCACATTCATTTCAGACCTTGAGTTTTGTAATTCAGATTTGATTTGAAACCAAAATAACACATAGGCACTTGATTATTATCACGTGTATTTTCCGGACCATTTTAAAATTTTCCCATAGTATCCGGACCTCACCTAAAACTACTTGCCAAACCATGGTGTGTGGGATGGCTGAAGAACTGAGCGTCAGCTCCCATGCTATTTTTGATGGTTTAAAACGCATTGAAAACGTGAAGAAGCTCAAAAAGTGGGTACCCCACGATTTGAATTATCCACAGAAATTTTCACGTTTCGAGATATGTTCTGCTTTACTTTTGCACAACCAAAACGATCCTTTTTTGAATTGGATCGTCACGTGTGATGAAAAGTGAATCCCTTACAACGGGAGATGTTCGGGAGAGTTGTTGAACACCGATAAGCCACTCAGACACTTCCCACCAAACGCGAACACCCACCAAAAATGGACCATGGTTAATGTCAGCGACTGGTCAGCGACTGGTATGATTTACTATAACTTTCTGCAACCGGGCCGAACCATCACAGCAGAGTCCTACTGTGAGGAAATCGACGAAATGTACCTAAAATTGCGTCAGCAGAAGCCGTCAGCCTCAGGTTTCATAATGTACCGTCAGAACATTGAACGAATGGAGCGTTGAAGTGCTGCCTCACCAACCGACTATAATCTTTTCTAGCACTTTGAAAACTTTCTCATCGGTAGAGCCTTCGCCAATCAGGACCAGACAAAAAGAGGCCTTCGTCGACTTCATCGAATCCCGAGCACGCAATATGTATGCTGACGAAATTAATCGACTTGTGTAACATTGGCAAAAGTGCACTGATTCAAATGGCACTTATTTATTTATTTATTTATTTATTTATTCAACGGGTAACCCCCAATTTTTATACAATATATTGACCTTAGAAAGTTAACTATAACTATTCTAGTACCTATATATCTAATAAATCAACCTACATAGAGAAAATTAAAATAAAATTGTGATTATAAAAATAGTCTTATAAATCTATACCAAGTAGAGTATATCTAGGAGTGCTCTGAGAGATGTGAAAAAAATCAATATTTGTCCCATTGGCATTTTGAATGAATTGAATTAGTATATACTGATATTACAATTTAAAGTAGACTCATAAAAACGGACAAAAATTTTGAAACAACCTAATACCAGCAGGGTAGGGTTCTACAGGGGTGTGAAGTTATCCACATCCACAAAGTACACTGAGAAAAAAATATCGCATTATTATTTTTTCATTTACTGACTCTGCACACCTACCATTTTTCAATATGATACGCTAATTGACTGAATTAGTAAAAAAAAACAGAACCGTCCTAGTTTATTAAACTGCCTGAGGGGTGAAAATAGGGTGGAAATATTTTAAAAAATCGTAACATGAAAAATCGACTTTGTACACCTACAAAATCGAGATATGTTATTCCTGATGATCTACTCGAGGGAAAAAACTTCACGTCATAGTTTTCCAGGCCGTCTGAGGGAGTGAAAATGGGGTGGAAAATTGAAAAAATCGTATCTTCGAAACTTGAATGTGTGCACCTACAAGTTTGAGATAGTTATCTATCAAAATCTATTCGACAGAAAAAACTTCACATCATAGTTTTTCAGGCTGTCTGAGGAGGTGAACATGGGGTGAAAATATCAAAAAATGTCTTAACATGAAAAATCGACTTTGTACACCTACAAAATTGAGATATGTTATTTCTGATGATCTATTCAGCTGAAAAAACTTCACGTTATAGTTTTCCAGGTCGTCTGAGGGGGTGAAAATGGGGTGGAAACTTGAAAAAATCGTATCTTCGAAAATTGAATGTGTACACCTACAAAATTGAGATATGTTATTCCTGACACCCGATTTGACGAGAAAAACTTCGCGTTATAGTTTTCCAGGCCGTCTGAGGGGGTGAAAATGGGGTGGAAACTTGAAAAAATCATATATTCAAAAATTGAGTTTGTACACCAACAAGATTGAGATATGTTATTCCTGACACCCCATTTAAACGAGAAAAACTTCACGTTATAGTTTTCCAGGCTGTCTGAGGGTATAAAAATGGGATGGGAACTTGAAAAATCATATATTTAAAAATTGAGTTTGTACACCTACAATCAGATATTGTATTCGTATAGAGCATCTGAAAGATACTGGCTTTGCAGCGTTGTCAGACTGTTTCCGAAGTATCTAGTCCTACATACATTACACTAACATTTATCAATTCATTACATTAAATAACTAATATGGTGCAAAAATTTCCGGTCTTCTCAGAAGTGAAAAACTCTAGCACGTTGTTTTTATTTGTTGAATCGATCATCAGGAGAATCTCAATCTTGTAGGTGTTCAAATTCAATTTTCAAATATATGATTTTTTGACATTTCTACCCCCTTAGACGGCCTGGTAAACTATGACGTGAAGTTTTTTCTGTCGAATATATCATGATGGAAAACATACCTCAAACTTGTAGGTGTACACATTCAATTTTCGAAGATACGATTTTTTCAACTTTCCACCCCGCCAGACGGCCTGGAAAACTTTAACGTGAAGTTTATTCAGTGGAATAGATCATCAGGAATAACATATCTCAATTTTGTAGGTGTACAAACTCAATTTTTAAATATATGTTTTTTTCAAGTTTCCACCCCATTTTCACTCCCTCAGACTGCCTGGAAAACTATAACGCGATGTTTTTCTTGTAGGTGTACAAACTCAATTTTTGAATATATGATTTTTTCAAATTTCTAGCCCATTTTGACCCCCTCAGACGTCCTGGAAAACTATAACGAGAAGTTTTTTCAGTCGAATAGATCATCAGGAATAACATATCTCAATTTTGTAAGTGTACAAAGTCGATTTTTCATGTTAAGACATTTTTTGATATTTTCACCCCATGTTCACCCCCTCAGACGGTCAGGAAAACTATGACGTGAAGTTTTTTTCTGTCGAATAGATCATCAGGAATAACATATCTCAATTTTATAGGTGTACAAAGTCGATTTTTCATGTTACGATTTTCTTAAATATTTCCACCCTATTTTCACCCCTTCAGACAGTTTAATAAACTACGATTACTGTGTTTTTTTTACTAATTCTGTCAATGAGCGTGTCATATTGAAAAATGGTAGGTGTGCAGAGTCGGTAAATGAAAAAATAATAATGCGATATTTTTTCTCAGTGTACTTTGTGGATGTGGTGGTTAACTTTACACCCGTGGGTTCTACTGGATACTATTGGAGTGAGAACAAACCTGATGTTATATCAGAAACTGTTCTTCTAGTAATATCTGAGAATCAGAAAATAGTAGAAGTAAGGTTTAAAACAAAATTGAAACAATCAGTGAATTCAGCTAATAATTATTATATTTTATTTTATTTATCCATATAATGAAAGTGTAACTGATCTCTATCTGTATATGGAAGATATTTAGGAAAAACTATTATTGGGAGTCTTCAATAATGCAAAAGAACCCATGGTTTTGAAAATTTTTGTCTGCTTGTTTGTGCCTTTGTATGCTCACTTTTCCTAATTGTTTCATAGAAAAAATTGGGTATGAGGCCTGTAAGGGGTGATGTGTGATAATGTTATTTTTTAGTATTTCATCTTGAATGAAAAAACTTTACCATCACGTTTTTACCCTACACAGGATAGAATTGTTCGAAGAATATCCTTTGTTATTATAATAATTACTCAAAATAGATCAATATATACAAAAGATCTCATTAAACTTTATGAGAAGCAACTGTCATATACCACTGCAACAGTTTTGTTTTTGATCATTACAACTTTTCAAGAAATTACTTCACTTTCAGTAGTGGACTATCATGTAACTGAAATGGGCAAACAACAGTTATATGCATATATAATGTTCAGAAATAAATCGAAACATTTTTGGATCCATTAGAATTTGTTCATATTTCTAACATTCCTATTGATAATATAAAGTCAGTACCTTCGGACTCCTGTTTGGTTTTATACGTCTCCCACAACGTCCTCAAGTTCTCAGGAACAGGAACATTTGCCAATTCGAAAGCCTTTATAAGATCCCCCGCATACCTGGATTGTTCAGGGGTGATGAATGTATAAGCAAATCCCTTATTTCCTGCCCTTCCAGTTCTGCCACACCTGTGAACGTAATCTTCATAGTGGTTAGGGCAATCGTAATTGACAACTAAAATCAAATGTTTGACGTCCAATCCTCTAGCTGCTACAGAAGTTGCGATCAACAGCTTCACTTTCCCTGACTTGAAATCGATAATGGTAGAATCTCGATCAAACTGATCGATGCCTCCGTGTAAACTCAAGCAGTTATAGGCGGCCCTCATTAGTTCTTTGAGAAGTATGTCAGCATTCTCTTGTTTGTCTACAAATACAATGATGCTTCCTAATTCTTGGTATATACCTAATAACTCGAGGAGTTTCAAGAATTTATTGTCTTCCTCGATAATAACAACATTCTGCTCCACTTCTTTGCAGACTACTGATCTGCCACCTGCAAAGTAACAATAATAAATAAAAATATTGTTTTGTTTAACAAGTGAACTTGGTGAAAAAGTTTTTATAGATTATGCATGTGTATTAGTTTTATATTTATCAGTACTTTGACTCTATAAGAATAGTTTTTTCATGTCGGTTTTCTAAACAATTTTCAATTTTACCCCTAAGTCCGACACTGAATATAAATGTCCTGTGGAAACGACTTTGAGTCCTTAAGGTCTATTCACACTTTTCAACCACTTCTCAGTTCCGTTCCATCAAACAGTCTCAGTTAAGTTAAAATGAATATTACTGGAGTCTTTTCCAAACCGTTAACAGTTGGGTGTTGGGAAAAAACTCCAGTAATATTCATTACTAACCTACATCAATGGTTCCAAACAGTGCATCACAAATAATATATCTTCGACTGACAGTCAGACTCAATTCAGTGTGCTTTCAGTCATAATTAAAATTTATTGTCAACAATACTTTCTTGATGTGATGGATGTGTGTTCACCTTGATTATAAAAAGCCCTTCGCCATTATCTTGCTTTCTCTTTTATAAGTATTACTGTTTGAAAAAAATTTGCTTTTCCGTTAACCAGCTGTTGCCCCTCTACAAACGACAATCCTCGAAAGTAGAAACTTGTGCGAAAGGATTAACAAGGTCTGACCATTTAACGTGCGATTCCCGGCACATGTAAAATGAGGCGTTCAGCAAAATTTCGGAGAAAAGCACTACAAATAACAATCACTGGATAATTATCTACTGATATGTATGAATAGCCGTCACAAATGTTGACTGAATGAAACTGAGATGGAGCGGCAACATTACTGAGACGTAAATGACAAGTACGGATACGTTTTATGTACTGAAACTGTCCACAAAAATATATTTCTTCATATAAATAGAGTCTTGGAATTCTAAAAGTCCCCACTGCTTTTTGAATTGTACGTTAATCTAGTTTGCAGATCATAATCAGATTTAAAAAATTATGTGTTTCTATAACAAAAACAGTCGAATATTTGAGGTATCTTATTGAGATCAATGGTCTAAAATACTTGAAGAATACCTACAGATCATCTTAGAACCTAATTGCTTTCAGTTGAACAACTCTTTCTATAGACAACAAAGGACACTCTAAAATTTGATATCTACAGGAAGAGTGCCAGAAACATGCCCACATTTGGATAATCACGAATGAAATATTATCTATAGCAAAGAAAAAAAGATAATCAATAAAAATCAATGAATACTATTTAGATAGATAGATAGAAATTTATATGTGCTTCTAATCATACAGATTTTGCACATGTCTACAATGTGGTTACATACTGAAATACATTCAAAAAAACATACAAATTACAATTAAAATAAATCAAACAAGACAGTACAGAATTCTATGAACTATGATCAAATTATCAAAATGAAGATAATCAAAATCATTTCAGTAACAACCCAAATCAGCATTAAGAATGTTATCAAATAAGTAATAACTTTCCTGTATAAATATATGTTTACATTTGGTTTTGAAATTATTATTATTATGAAAAGGGAGCTTATTATAAAACTCAGGTGCTTAATAATTTGTTATGAGAGCTATATTTCTTGTGTTATAATGGTGAATGTCACTATGCATTTTGTTTATTTCAAAGTAGACTTTCACATCTGCTTGAAAACTATGGCCATTTATTATTCTAATGGCCTTTCTTTGAAGGCCAAATATTTTGGAACAGTATGACGAATGTCACAAACAGGGATTACATATGTTGAATGGAGGGTGTAAAAGGTTAAAATAGGCAATCATACAGGTTTCGTGATTTGCAACAGGCTGTAAATTTCTGAGAAGAATAATATTTTTTGATATTTTGTTGGACAAGTATTGAATAAGTTCATCCCATAGTAATTTTTTATCTGAAAATAAACCTAAAAATTTTACAGCCTGCTGACGAGTAAATATGCAGTTATTTGTCTTATTTGCATCAAGACTTAGTTCATTTGCAATAAACCACTGTGATACTCTCAAATGCTCTTCGTGCATATTAAACTGAAGAATGTTTAAATACTTATTTCTATTGGCCAAGGTTGTATTGTCAACTTATAACACCCAACTGGTTGAAGGAAGATTGGCTATTAGATCATTAATATATATAAAATGAAAAGGAGAGGCCCCATTAACGGCCCCTTTAGCACCCCCACGGTGACAGCACCTGCTTCAGAAAAATATTTTTATAATAGACAATCTGAATTCTGTTATTCAGGTAGGATATCAAAAATGGTTAAACTTGAAGAATTGAAACCATAGTGTTCTAGCTTGGTATGAAGAATGTCATGGGAAATACAATCAAATGCTTTTCTGAGGTTGCAGAAAGTAATTCATTTATGAAAATGGACATATAACTGACAGATGCTCCTATCGTACAAAAATCAAATGAGTATCTTTGGACCACCAAAACAATTACTCCCATTACAGGATCAAATCAAATCACATCAGAAGTCGTATACCAGATAACAGCTGCTGGACTGAGTCATAGCCGATGAGATTGTCATAAACCGACCCAAACTTTATGCAGATCGATTTCTCCCACCAGCCATGACTCAATCCAGTAGCTGTATATAGACTTGAAATATGAAACTTTTATAACATTTTATCACCTTCATAGTTCTTGTGTAGTTAAAATTTCACATATTCATCAATATAACAGAAGATGCCAATGAATTTTGGGACAATGAATTTAGAAATATTCAAAATTGATTTTCTCACCCACTTGAACCTCGATAGGTTTCTGCAACAACTTTCTGGCTAACGCTTCCATCTGTCGAGGAAAAGTAGCACTGAACATCACCGTTTGTCGATCAGGCCTGACGGTATCGATAATTCTCATGACCTGTGGTTCAAATCCCATGTCAAACATTCTGTCTGCTTCATCAAGAACTATATATGTTACTCGCCTTGAATTTGTTACCTTTCCGCTGTTTGCTACCAGCATGTCTATCATCCTCCCTGGCGTACAGACAATTATTTCAGCACCTGAAAAATCATGACAAAAAACAGAGTATCAATCAATAGCTTAGTCAAAATTCTACTTTTTGTTTAATTTATACACGGGTCACTTTTTGAACTTTCTCAAAAAGTAGGAGAAAACTTTTGACTGTTCTATTATTATCCAATCCTCAAAACAGTTTTTCCACTCTGAAGTTTTGTTGGTATACGTTAACATTGTTAAGTTTATTATTTTTTTTTAATTCTGTTGATCTACCTAATATAAACAAATTTGTTTCTCAAGATAAATAAAAGGGTAGTTAAGTTGATATTTCTCCAAAACGTGATTTTTCAGAAGGTTTTAACAGTTTCTTATGGCGATGAAAATGTTTTCTCCATGCATTCTTTCTTTGAATAGGGTAACAAAAAAAAATTGTTAGTCAATACTACAGAATACAAGTAATGAGTCATCTATTTGTTTTTTTTTTCCTTTAGGTAATTAATTATTTGATGTGATGTGTGGTTTTTTGTTGAAAATTTTTGAAAAATAACTTGTTGACTCATCCGAAAGCCCAAATCTCTTCGTATGGTGACCCACTTGCAGTGTGTAATTTTTTTTTTTTTCACAAACTTCCTTCTTCCACATACTCACTGTGAAGGAACTCTTGTTGAAAAATGTTTATAATACTAACGACTTCAAGACTTCAAGCCCTAGCAGCAAATCTGTCTGTTATAACATGTTGATATTTTATTATACTCTTTTAAATTCTAAATTTGTTGTCACTTAAATATTCAAAATGTATTTTTTTCTCTTTAGTTTATTCAATACTGCAGTATTTAATATCAGTTTGCGGAGCAACATTAAATGCTCTACTCAACCCTGCTATAAAATGTATTGAATATTACTGGAGTTTTTTCTTGAAGATGATCACTTGGTGATCGAAACACGTGTTGAGGTGTTGAAAATGAGGATTTGGTGTTGGAAAAAAACTCCAGTAATATTCATTATTACACCAAAGGTTCCAAACAGTACATCATAAATATAAAATGTATTAGCAAATTGGATTATAAGGAATCAACTACTAGTTTATACAAACCAAAAATTATATTAGACATATCAATATTATACAAACTCAAACTTTGTACCTTTATTCATCCGGCAAAAAACAAATCGAAACATTGCAACAAAGCATTAAAAAAATTTTAATGTTTTGAATATTAGATCAAATAGTGGGAAACAATCGATTTACTCTTATTGGAGTTATTTTAAATTATACAATAATTTGACAAATTCTTTGGAAACTGTCATTGAAAAATAATTCGAAAAGATTGAAAAAAATATCTTCTGTTACAAACTATTATGTTGCTATCAATATATTATATATTTCATATATTTTTATTTAAGCAAATAAGTTAGATTTTCTTTTGTTCTTTTCTATATTCTTTCTTCTGTAGTATTACCATGTTTGTTGAGAAATAAATTATTATTATTATCATTCAAATATTTTGAAAGACTGAAAGTGTATTTTTTATCTCAACACCTTTATTTTCCAAGTCAATCTTGTTAACATGCTTGCTCCGTGTTTTTTATGATAACTGATTGGTTGTTCTTTACCAATTTTCCAAGTTAAGTAGGCTTTGTCAACAAAATTGTTTTTATACAACAATAAGCATTTCCAATTGATTGAAAATACTCATTATAATCTGGAGCAATACTATAGTTAAACAAAGTGTAATCTGAAAGAGCAAACACGAGTACTCTCATTCATGTGAAAGCCCATGGCCGAACTCCGCGTTTTTTTACATTTGAAATGAATATTACTTGCAAATTTATGTAAACATGTGGTAAATGAAGTCATTTATTATTATTATATTATGATACATGTATGAATGTCTATTTATACATGTGATTACTTTCAATTTTTTATTTTAATACAAGCTTCATAAAAAAGATCGTATCTCGAACAATAAATTGACTGAAATTTTCATTTGCAAAAACCTAAAAGGTAATCCTTTTACTAGCTATTATTGACAATGCATGTATTTATATGGAATGTACAGTAAATATATACTATAGCTACACCTCATTTCTCTTTTATAAATGCATCTTAATTGCAGTACAAATGTGTTTAGAATTATTATTAAACTCACATATATTTACTTAAAAAACAATCTCTGGATATCAGCACTGAGGCATTCTAAGGTTTTTTTATAGAATTTGACTCAAGTTTACATTCTATGTTCACATACATTTAGGTTCAATTATCAATGAAATGTAAATCTATTTGCAAGTCAAAGATGGTCTAGGTAGTTTTTGGTTTAATGATAGTAACTACATTACCTCTCTTCAATTCTGCGATTTGTTCAGAAATGCCAGTTCCGCCATAAACACATACTGCGTGTAAACCCAAACTTTTTGTGAACTTCTTGATGTCTTTTCCAATTTGCATACATAGTTCCCTTGTAGGTGTCATTATTATAGCTATTGGTCCATCTGTATCTTCAAGAGGAGGTTGATCCAAAATATGCCTGAACATTGGCAAAAGGAAAGCTAATGTCTTGCCGCTTCCAGTTTTTGCAATTCCTGTGAATTAATGGAACTTCGATCAGTTCTATGAAACTACTTCTGCTGTTCAGTTTTGCAAGAATAGAAATTTGGTATCAAATCTGTCTAATACAAGGAAAAGGTATTGTCTTTGCCTGAATGGAATTTTTAAATATATCTCAGCAATTTTTTGAAGAAAAATAAAATTAAAACCTAGTGAGGTTGTGATCAGGTTGTAGTCATTCACTTGTTGACTTATATCTGAAGAATGAGATAAAAATTTCACATAAACTTACCTAGAAGGTCTCTTCCAGACATTATGGCAGGAATAGCCTGAGCTTGAATTGGAGTAGGTTTTTCATAACCAAGTTTTTTCAAAATGCTAAGTTCTTTCGTTGAAACACCACATTGTGCCCAAGTTTTTATAGGTTTAGGGCAACCTTTACCTGTAAGAGATATAGGTAGGTAGTAATCAAATCAAATGTTATTGCGTCTTTATCCTATTAACAGTAAACAGATCGGACAAGCCAGGTGTAAAAAATATTATAATTAGTGTTGGGAAAGAAAGGTTTAGGCTTTTTACTTCTCCGTCTTTAAACAAAAAATGGGGAATCTTCCAAAGAAAGGAAGAAAGTAATTAATTTTCAAATAAAACAAAAATGTGTAGATCATGCGAATTAACACTTATAGTTAACTATATAGTAAAATTAACTGCAGTTAATAGTACTACTAGTACTATTATTTATAAGTATATTTATCAGTACTTATTATTATTCAATTCATTTGGACAATGTGTTCTTTCACATATTTAATAAAAGTTCTACCTGTTTGCTCTATATAAAAATTGAGACAAGATTTTCATATTAGTCTCAGAATTCCATAAAAAAATCCCTTTTATTATTTTATCATTGTCTGTTTTAATGAAATATTCAATGCTTCATTTGTTAGACAACTGAAAATCATTTCAGTAGATTCACCTAAATATGAGTAGTTCTAGTAGTAGTAAACTGATTTTTTAAATGTCTTACAATAAATTGGTTTCAGAATTTTTTACAACACGCTAACCTTCATTAAACTCTACTTCATTGGAACTCATCTTCTGTACCCTATAATGCGTGTCAGGTTAAGTTAGATCTAGAGTAATTTATGTAGGACTGTGCATATGTAACTGGGACTAGTCTGTATAAGTCAGGATTAATTAATGAATATTTCGTTCAATGTTTTGTGACGGTATTCAGATCTATATTTTAATTTTCTAAAGTAAAAAAATTCCCGAAGCTAATTTGTAAAGAAAATAGAGGAAAAAATTTGCAATAATATGCAGAATCTTCAACAAGACTGAAATAAAATGTTGAGTTGGTTGGACATAAAATTTATCTATTGAAAACACTTTTTTCACACCACCACAAAAGTGCTGTCTCTCGACGCTTGTTTTGCTGGCCAAATTAGCATGGTACATAATATTTCCTTGGTTTTTAGCTGTAATTATTATTTAACACAGTAAACAAAGGTCTGTCGCTGTTCTTTTTTCAAATTATAAACTTTCAAATGTGCCCAAAATCCTGTTATTCTGTCTCAAAATTACTATAATATTTTACAAACTTACTTCAAAACTCACTAACAAAATTCATTTTGATTTTCACTGTAAATGGTTTGCAAAGCCGTAAGACATGTTTCGCTTTACTGCTTCTTCAAGCAGGGTATGATTTAGAATTACAATCAAATCCTACTTGAAGAAGATATTGTCATGGTTCTGTAAACCTTTTATCGTAAAAATTAAAATAAATTTTATCAGTAAGTTTTGATATGAGTGTTCATTCTAACATATTTCCAGAAAAAATCCTAAAAAATAAAGATGAAAAACTTCTTTTTTAAATTTCAAAAGCATAAAAACTTGTTCACCTTTTACCCTGATTCCTTCCATTTCTTCCCTGTAGGCCTCTACTTCCTCGTGAGTCATCTTGGCAATTTCAGGCACTTCCACATAAAAATTTTTCCTAAAAGAATTGTAAATAATGGTATTGTGATCGATTTTTGCTAGTTCCTTTTTTTGTTTGTTAGCTAAACTGGCAGCTGTATCTTTCAAATCTTCCTGTTCTTCTTCAGATGAATATTCAAGTCCGTCCTGATTTTGTTCAATGAGTTCACCTTTGTTAGTATTTGTTTTAGCCTTGGCTACACCTGTTACAATGACTAGAGATCCTTTTTTTTCATTAGGTTCACCAGGTTTTTTCAGGTCTATTTTACTGATTTTTCGTACCTCTGCTTGAACCCCTGAAGAAAAAAATTAAAAAATATATTGATGAAAATATTTATAATAGTTTATATTTTGAAAGAAATATTGTGTTGAAGTATTAGCTGGTTAACGGAAAAACAGATTTTTGTCAAACATATTTAGTAAAGTTCATCAGAATAAAGAGTCAAACATATTGAAAGTTGATTCAAGTATTGAATGGTGAACCATCCACCACTAGCTGCATCCAGTTTGCAGGAAATGATGACATCTTACAAAAAAGTTGAAACTCTATTATAGTAAAGATCAAGGATTTTCATTTATCAGATCACTATGGACAAAGAATTAAATTCCCAACAAAAATACCACCAATAACTCCAATGTTCTGAATTCTTATTATTCAAGTTTCTCAGAGAAAAATATCTCAGATTTTAAAATACTACTTGGAAACGAGAACTGACAGAATGTTTACAAGGAAACATGTCCTAACGAAGCATATAATAGATTTCATGAAATCCTTCAATATTACATTGAGGTATCTTTTCCACTGAAACATACAAAAAAACAATGAAAGTCAACTCTAACCCCCTCACCCCCGAACTCTATAACCTCAAGAACATGGTGTCTCTATATTCAGAATGCGCGAGAGCGAACGAAAATTTCAAGGATATATGTCGCCAAGTAACTATAACATACAAAGATAAATTAAAGCAGAATAATCAAAGATGCATTGAGCATAAGATAAATAATTCTCACAATAAATTAAAAACAGTGTGGCAAACTGTAAATAATATCCAGAAAATATTTCCATTTTTAGTGGAGAACGTAAGGTGTCATGTGTTGACATGGCTAACAATTTTAATGCTCATTTAACGAAAGCGGAAGAACAAAGAGAATATGATATGAATTTTATGGAAAATACAGTCGCACTCTGCCCAAACTCAATATTTCTCCACCCAATGAAGGAATATGAGGTCTTTGATTTAATAAATGAATTAAAGAATTATAATGCTAGTGGATATGATCAAGTCTCAAACAATCTTCTGAAAAAATGCATGGAAGAAATAGTCTACCCTCTGACCTATTTGATAAATCTTTCCATGGAACGGGGAATATTCCCTGAGAAATTAAAAGTTGCAATCGTTACCTCAGTCTTTAAAAAAGGAGACTCAAATAGCTATGAGACCTATAGAGGGGTAAGTCTTCTCTCTAATATATCCAAGGTATACGAAATGAATATTAAAAATCAGTTACTATCGTTTTTCCTCAAAATTGAATTACTGTCGACAAACCAGCATGGTTTCATGCAAAATAAAAGCACGGAAACAGCTTTATATGATTTCATAGAACACGTAGTAACAGCCTTGGATAACAAACTGCAAATTTGTGGTTTGTTCATAGATTTTTCTAGAGCATTTGACTGTGTGGATCACTATGTACTAATCCTGAAAATGCATCGTTATGGGGTTCGTGGAGTTGCCCAAGATTGGATGATGTCATATCTAAAGAACAGGTCACAAACAGTGAGAATTCAAGGTGTTCAGTCAGTCCTTGACCTGCAAGCAAAGAGTTCCACAGGGGTCTATACTCGGACCACTGCTTTTTCTTATTTATGCGAACGACTTGATACAATACCTAAATAGTCTTTCAAAGGTATATATAGTTGCATATGCAGACGATCCAAATGTTCTGGTCACTGATTGTAATACATTACCACTTGCAGAATCAACAGAATCCATATATGAGAAACTAATGAAATGGGCTGAAAAAAATCATTTAGCACTAAATATCAGCAAAACAGCATTAGTCAAATTCACAATGCAGAACATCACCGAAACTCTCAAAATATATGAAGATAGCCAACTAGAGGTGACATCCAAACCAGAAACAAAAATGCTAGGTCTAATTCTAGATCATAAGCTGAATTGGGGTCCTCATATAGATTCACTATGTGATAAACTACGTAAGAACTGTTATGCACTGAGATTTATGTCGAATCATTGTGGAAGAGAGGTGCTCCTAAGTCTGTACTATGCAACTATTGGCTGTCACTTGCGCTATGGAATCTTGAATTGGGGTATGAGCTCCTCGGCTGAAAGAGTATTTATATTACAAAAGCGCACGATCAGAATAATTGCTAGGTTAGGATGGCGACACTCATGAAGAAGCTCATTCAAAGAGCTGGAAATACTCACAGTTGCTGGTCTGTACATATATGAGATGTGTCTCTACGTTCATAAGAATAAAGAAAAATTTAGCCAAACTAGCAAGACCACCCATACGCAACTAGGACTAGAGGGTTGTTGATAGCGAATCCTCACCGTACCTCCCTTTATCAAAAGAGTCACCTATACCTTTGACCCAAATTGTATAACAAGCTAAATGTTTCTATTAAGGACTCAGTGAACATCTGCATTTTCAAAAGACAATTGAAAAAATATCTTATCGAAAGAAACTGCTACACCGTTGACGAGTTTTATTAGTTACTCTCGATAAAAAAACTGTTAATTACCTTCATATGTACAGTTTAGTATCTATCGTGTTTTGTTGTTTCATATTTATATAATTATATTTGTTTATAGTTATACATGGACGGTACGGTATGTAAATGCTTTCATAGTGTTCAATAAGTGAAATAAATATTATTATTACTGACGACTATTCATAAATTTCAACAAAATAACATTTATACATTTTCTACTGCTATATTTGAGAAACATTCTTATTTTGTTACATATATTCAGTATCATAACTATATAATCATAAAATATCCCAGTATAAACAATATACCTTTCATAAATTCATCTAAAGGATCAGCTTCGTCTTCGATATTTTCTTCAATTTCTTTTTTAGGCTCAGGGGTACTAATATCAGGTTTCTCTTTCATTTCTTCGTGTCCATTTCCTTCAGTTTCTTCTTTATCCTTCTCTCCCTCTTTTTCAGATTTATCAATCTTATCTTCGTCTTCAGAATCATCCTCTAGTGACCACTTTTTGAAGGTACCTTGAGATATTGTAGAATTTTGACTAGAGGCAGATTTTTGTGCCTCTTTTTTAGCAGCTTCTTGTTCCTTCTTTTTTCGTTCAGCTCTCCAACGTTCTATTCTTTCCCTTCTCTTCACCATTTCCAATTCCAGTTTTTTCTGTTCTTCTTCCTAGAATTTGTATAAATTGATATATGACATTTTTTCTTATCATCGTTATATCAAGCCTCGTATCCAAGTTTTTCTATTGAAAAGTAAGAAAATTGGGAAATTTCTGGAAAAAGGTAGAACCATTATGAAAAAAGTAGGACAGTTAAAATATTTTTTTGAAGAAGTTATCACACAAAATACATAAAAATATACCCCTTTCAATTTTAACATAAAAGTAATAATAATGACCACAATAAGTAGTCTTCTGCTTTGAGCTAGACACTGAGTAGTATAGAACTATCTTTTTTTTTCAAATTATTTCTGTTTGCCTCTTTACTTGTGCTGCATGGGCTTTTTTCATTCTAGTGTTCGTCTCAACAACCAGTATTTTATATGTGAGTTACAATTAATTTCATCTTATGTTTTCTATTGTTTTTTATCTTTTTGAATTGTTTCCTTCGCTTCCTTCGATTTCTGGTTGAACTTTTTCCTCAATATTCATTGCTTCCTGCTTCCTCCTTCTTCGCATATTCTTCATCTACTCATTTCTTTTTCTTTTCAGCTTCCATTCTTTTTTCTTGTGCCACCATAACAAGGAAATATTTATAGGTGGTACTCCACTTTTTTAGAAAGTCTCTAGTGATGGGCACCCTACATTTATCAAATTGTAGGACACGCCACTCATCTCGAATATCAACACTGAGTGGAAAATCTACCATATTGATCACAACTAAGTCTTTGGCAAACTTTAAAGCCTAAGTAAAGCCAATAGTAAGTTTATCTTAATCGATGAATGTAAACCTTTTAAGAACTTGAAGATTCTCTGTATCTTACATTTTGTTCCTTCGGTAGTTTGTGTAAGAAATATTTACTTATGTTTCACCTTGCCCAGAGCTGGACTCAATGTCAACCATCTACATCATCATAGTCAGGAAAAAGTGTTTTACACCAGAAGTTGGAAATTCTACTCATCAATATTATATTGTAGTTAGGACGAATGTATATTCGAAAGTTGTTAGGTCAACTTTGTTTTCATTAACTGGCAGTTTCTGGTGAAAGAGGTCGTTTTCCTCTTACCCACTAATAAGTAGAAAAAATAGAAGGAATACAAGTCCTGTTATGTATATATTTTGATACCTTATCCAAATTAGTTGGATCAAATGACAGCCCCGAATCATCTGGTTTTGGTTTCTCCTTTGATCTTGACCTGGATCTTCTCCTGCTGGACTTTCCAACACCTCCACGTCTTTCTTTGCCATCACCTCTGCAAAATTATAATTGTAGAATAAGAAAACAATGCAAATGCTCTGTTTGTAAAAAAAAGAAAAATTGTAATATTGATTGTATCTATATCAGTGCACATTTTAGTTACACAGTTGTCAAACAAATATATAAAGAAAGTTGCCAACCCAAATATTCTATCAAAACGATATGTATAGAGATTTTTATATATTCCTTGCATGAGTATATTCCAAGATCAACAATTAATGTGATAGTGTCATGAAAAAACTGAGTTTTTGCCTCACGTAAGTTTTGACTGTTGAGGGTTGTTTTTGATCATGTGATCAATGGAAAAACCCACTGTCAACCATGAAAAATGTCAGGAATCGTTCCGAACTCCATATAATAATATATGATTTTTATTATTAGTTGAAGTATTACTAATGTTTCATCAATATAGCATACCCTCTTCTATCCCTTTCAGAACGGTCCCTATCAGAACGATCTCTTTCGCGACTGTGGGACCTACGGTCTCGTTCTCTTCTATCTCGATCCTTTGAACGTGATCTACTTCTCCGCCTTGGTTCTCTAGACCGGCTCCTTCTGTACCTGCCAGGTTTAGATCTATCCTTACTTCTAGATCGGGATCGTCTTCTTTTCCGCTCCGGACTTCGGCTCCTGTCTCGGCTGAAATATTGATAAGAAAATATGATCATGCGAAATATATTTAATAATTTATTCAATGAATAATTACCCTCGCACCATATTATAGGGAGATCAAATATACGGAGCAAATGTGTGAGTTGTTTAAAACATAATAATTCATCCGACTCTCAAGTTCTTAATTAAATACTATGAAGCCAAAAGTCAACAAAACCAGCAACACAACATAACGACATAACCATAAACTTTTTTCTTCTGAGAATCAGTTCTTCTTCTTTTCTGGTAACTATTCTAGGGAAACACTGCCGCGCAAAACCGATTCAAAACTATAGGAAAACAGGGAACATGATGAAATGGCATTTTGTATTTGAATTCCTACAAATACTAGATACGTTGTTATTTTACCAAAATTTAGGTCTGTTGTGGAAAAATCATTGTCGGAAATAATTATTTATTTGGAATATTAACGAAGACGTTCAAGATTGATCATGTGATATTTGAGTTAGGTATAATTCCAATATAAAAATTCATTAAACATAAATTGAACTGAAATTGTATTGAAAAATACATTAAATTCAAACTAGAAATGTATATACATGCATCAAGAAATGAAATGATAATGTCGGAAATAATTATTTATTTGGAATATTAACGAAGACGTTCAAGATTGATCATGTGATATTTGAGTTAGGTATAATTCCAATATAAAAATTCACTGAAATTATATTGAAAAATACATCAAATTCAAACTAGAAATGTATATACATGCATCAAGAAATGAAATGATATAAAATAAACCTAATCAATGATGAGATATCCGCGAGTTCTCCTTTTTTATCTATTCACTCTGGTAAACATTTTTCAGTAGGTATTTATATTCTATCCACGTATTTCACTGTCTGAGTGATCATATTATTATCAAATTATAAATGTGCGGTTAACACGACACTTATCTGTGACTCCGTTCATATATGTGATGCTTTTCATTTTCGGAAACCAGGTGTTGCCCATATTTACAGTTTGCGGCACCTTACTAATGCGACCAAAAAGTCACAAGTATGTGTCCGCGGGCTGTCTTGGTTTTTTTATTATCATCAAACATGCACACGATTGTTACGAAGGTAACCACAGCTACAAATGTAGTCATATTAGTCAATTTCTATAAATGCTAGGTATTCTAACTAAAACTACAAATGTGTGTTTGACTCATCGTAGTATTTTTAGTAACCAGGTGTTCCCCATCTTTGCTCTTGACCGCACAGCGGTGATGAAATGCAGTCACATTGAATACACCCAATAACATGTTTCAGTTCTATATATCACCATTTTTAAATAATCTGAGTTGTCATCTTCTGCTATATTCGAGTCTGTGTTCAAATAATAAAGAATCCAACAGTTCTTACCCCAGTAAAGACCGAAAATTCAGCTCAAATGTGATTCAGTACAGAAAATCTTCTCTTACAAGTCACTTTCGTGAATAAAATTTGAGAATTTCACAAAAAATATCAAATAATGAAAGATGTACAGACAAATGCATTTTTAATTGTGATCATGTGGGAAATTGAAGTCGAAATTTTGAGTTTAAAGCCGCAATTGTGAGTTTAAAATCGAAATTACGAGATCAAAGTCGAAATTTCGAGTTTCAAAGTCGTGATTTCCAAGAAACAAATAATAAAATAGGTTGCCTTCGCGCTTCAGTATGTTTCTGTATTGATGTTGCTTTTGTAAAAGTATTCTGTAATCATACCGAATAAAATGCTTTCGAGAATTCAATTGTATCCTTATTTATTTCACATCTAAACTACATAATAATCAAAATATTATTTGACCTGAGTCTCAATTTTATAATTTGGCGACTCATCCTATTGAATGTACTACCTTTTCGCAATGAAAAATATTTCAGAATTTTCATGAAATACTTTATCAGATTTGGTGTGATAATTTATATCCAATTCATTCAAATCACCACTTCGGACTATTGTTTCCAGTAATAATACATTAATAATTAGAGAGATAATTTCAAAACAATTTTCAAAGGCAAAAGGAAACTGTCATGAAATTAGGATTTCATTTTGAGTCTTTTTTTAAGTATAAACCACAGAATTCCGTAACTACAGAAGTACTGTGGAATAATTTGTAGCCAAGAATGATTTTATTAAGTAATTTCAACGAGGTTGAAATGACATGTCAATGATCCTCAAACATGTCAATGGCATGTTTGAGGATCTTATGAAGATCTCAATATAATAGACATCCAGTTCTGATTACCAAAACATGAAAAGACCATGGAATTTTACTCTTTCGTACCTTACTGTTGATTTCATAGCAACCCAGAGTATTTTTAAAACAATTATTCTGTTTCATGTGGTGTGAAAAACCTCAGAGGAACAAAAAAAATCCTCTGAGTGAAAAACACTTCAAATGTCAACTATTCTTCTTCTTAGATTTAAATTAATGGCCTCAGCTGATATCAACTATTTTAGGGCGTAATGAAGTTTCGAAGTGATTGCTACCTGGTTCTGACATCACACTTCAACTGTCGCTATCGAATCTTAGATGGCTTTCTCTCCCTTGTTTGTTTTCAGTGATATACACATACCTTCGAATTTTGAATATAGACTATATAAAGCACATACTCTTACTTATTTGTTATTGGGTTGAATATGGTTTTAACTATCTCGTAGGGTTCAGCCAGCGTTTGCAATATAATGTGTTTACATCACATTGGAAACCTCTAAAATTATCAGTGTTTATCTACTATATTATGCACATACATTATTATTTACATACAGTGTGTAAGAGTCAAATGGAATAAATTCATTATTTCGGTTACGGTACATATTTTAAGAAAATCCCGAAACACGTCAAATTTAAATTATAATTTGATATACTTCAACGGAAAAATGCTACTCCTACCTTCAACCCCCGTCGAATGATAGGTACAATCCCTAATTTTTTAAATGGGAAGTATTGGCTTTTAATATTTCGTTTGGAAGGTATCTTCATTCTCTATTCAAAAATGTTATTGCTTTCAAGTTATTGCAACAATTAAAATGAAATAAATTAAAATCATGTGGTTACCGAAATTCCATTAAATACACTTAAAACTTATTTCATGTTGAGGTATTGATAATAAAAAAGTAAGCAAAAACCATAGCAATGTTCTTTTTAGATGGTATGCTTTGAAAAACTGTAAATAATTTACGTAGCAACGTTAGTTTAAAACGCCTTGTCAACTTGTTCTGTATGTTACAACATTAGTTGTTAGTATTTATTTAAGTTTAAAGTTCGTTGACTGCAAGTCTGACAAAAAGCTAGATTAACGGAAATGCATAAAATAACAATTTTACAAATGATTGGTTACGGAGATAAAACCCGAACACAACAGGAAGTAGCTCGCCGATTTCAGGAGAAATTTCCTAATTTACCGCCCATATCTCAAGGAAAAATAAGCAAAATAGAGAAGCAGTTTCGCGAGCTTGGTCACGTGGGGTAGATAAAAAAAGCAGCCGCCATAGTTTGAGGAAACACCACATACATCGAGTAGATAGGCATCCCCTACATTCAATGTTAGCCATACATCGATAGTAAACATATTAAAAGAAAATAAAATGCATCCTTATAAAAATGATACCTACTCAGGAGCTCATGGCAGACGATTTTGATAGAAGAACTTATTTTTGTGAGCAAATGATGGACATGTTGAATAACAATATCATTCAATTAGACGACGTTATGTTTTCTGATGAGTGTACTTTGTCTCTTAACGGTCATGCTAATCGGCAAAATTACCGCTACTGGTCAACGGAAAATCGTCACTGAATGGGAGAAGAACATAAGCACTACCCTCAAAAGGTTAATGTTTGGGCAGAGATTGTAGGAAACCATATTACTGGTCCCTTTTTCATTGAGGGCAACTTGAATGGCGTTAATTATTTGGCATTACTTAAAAATGATCCAGAAAACCATCAAGTTCCAGTAAATACAATATGGTTTCAGCAGGATGGAGCACCATCACATTACCAAGGTAATGTCCGGCAATACCTCGATGTAACATTTCCCAATCGGTGGATATGGATGCGAGGATCGGTTGAATGGCCAGCGCGATCACCTGACTTTTCATCATTAGATTTCTTTTTATGGGGATATGTAAAAAGCGATGTGTACAAAACTAAACCTTCATATTTGAATGACTTGAAAGAACAAATAACGCTTGCGATTGGGTCGGTCACACCTGATATGTTAAATAATGTTAGAAGAGAGTTTTATTTGATATTGGGATGTTGCCAGTGTATTTTATCGAATTTCGGTAACCACATGATTTTAATTTATTTTATCTTAATTGTTGCAATAAACTTGAAGGCGATAACATTTTTGAATAGAGAATGAAGAAACCTTTCAAACGATATATTACAAACCTATACTTCCCATTTAAAAAATTGTAGGTTGTAACTGTCATTCACATGGGGTTGAAGGTAGGGGTGGCATTTTTACGTTGAAGAATGTCAAATCATAATTCACATTTGACGTGTTTCGGGATTTTTTAAATATATAGGTACAGTAACCGAAATAATGAATTAATTCCATTTGGCTTTTACACTGTATATACCTTCCTTTGAATCACTATCTATTAAAAACACTCGCATCAAAATCCGCTGCGTAATTTCATAGATCTAAGCATAAAATAAGGACAGGCAGCGGAAAGAAACTTTGTTTTATACTATTTAGTGATGAAGATTGTAGTGAGGTAATTGTTTTGTAACGTAAAAGGTCCAAATAAAATTACTATGGATCAAAACATAATGCAAATGGCAGCATTATTAACTATCTTTTCAACTACTTCAATTCACATAAAGTGAATATTACTGGAGTTTTTTTCCAACACCAACCCGTTATTTTAACACCTCGACACGTGTTTTGATCACCAAGTGGTCATCTTCAAGAGGAAGATTAAACTATGTGATACTACTGTTCATTGAAGTGAAATCAGTAAGAATTGACAGTTTCTGTTATGAAACAGAAACTAAGAATATCGGGCGTATGTTCTACAATAGCCTCAAGTTTTGTATGGTAGGGTAATCTCTTTAAATCACATAAGTCACATAAACTTCATACATGATGTGTGATGTGTGTGTAGTTGTGAAGTATTCAGTTATTACACTGGTTCTGCTCACAGAAGAATACTATGAATAGATATGAATACTATGAATACAACCGTGTTAGGAATCACACGTTAAAAGGTAAG